GTGACAAAGGGGAGAAGCCCCTGTTAGGAGCTGTCCTAAAAGCAATAAATAAAACCAAGGCCTGAGCCCACAGCCAGTACTACCTGGCTTGATGGCAGTGACAGAGGTGTTGCCCCACTGGCGTAACCCATTCAAGGAACTGCTCCAGTGTTTCTCATAGGGAAAGCAAAGTTAGAGGGTCTTAAGAAATTCAGCAATTGCTGCTCCCTTTGCTCCTCCTTTTTCCCTTTCCTTACACTACTTCATATTAATCCCACCCTGACGGCTGAAATAAGACTGGGTCTTGCTATGCCAATGGCAATAATCACACTAGCTCAACACATTGGGGATGAATTACACTGTTTATTGCCTTGGAGGAGGACAGCAAAAGGACCTTTATCCACCCTGAGCTTGATAGACATGTAATCTCTTGCTCTGAGGGACTGTAAAAGCTACATGACAAACATTGCTTTGCTTACAGGCTTCTCTGCAAATGCTGGCTGACTGTCATTTTCTGAGACAGCTGGCAAGCAGAGGAGTAGGAAGATTTATTCCCAGCAGGTGCAATAGGATATGTTCAGATGATCATTTGTCCATGTCAGACCTCACACTTTGGCAATAAATCGTTGGCAGGTCTTGAAATGACATCATCTATGGCGTGGAGACTTGCTGCAGACAGGGCATACTGGAATCACTCCCTCTTGCTGAACTCCTGCCAACGGAGGCTTCTAATAAGCCTAAAATATGCCAGCTGTGCTGTAGCTGCTGCTGATCATGTAGACTTCCCTCTTCCTTTTATCCACCACCACGGGCCATTGAGCCTGCAGGTGCGACTGTACTTCACGCACATGCCTCTAGGAGTCATCACCATCAAAAATGTCTGAATAAAACGATTATTGCTTTGCAAAATGTCACCAGCCACCCTTTCACAGAATGCTAGACTTTCTCCTCTGGGGTGACAGCACATAGTGCAAAACCCAGTTAAAGGCCAGTGACTTGTCTTCTACACAGTTTGCTGGGAATATTAGTTTTATTGACCTCCCGATGTCCTGGGTACATGCGTCCCTCTCCCAACTCATTCGGCAGGAGACGGCTGGCAACATGCTTCCTACCTCAAGTGTCATGGAGTGCAGGGAGAGACCTGGGCTCCCTTCCAGACCCCATGACTAGAACATGAGGCTGTAACTTCCCTGGTCCACTGCAGCCCCCCAGTACCCTTCTGCTGCACAGAAACATGGTCCTTTCCTGCCCTTCTCTCCCTGTAAGAGGTGCTACTGTCACCAGCCTTCCCTCCGCAGAAGCCCTGTCCACCTGCTATGACCAGCATCATTTCAGACGGCATCAGTGGGCATGAGCCAAGGATTGATTTAGCTTGGTGATTACCCGTTCAGACTCCCTCTCCAAGCAAAACATGAGAAGCTACTGCATTCCTGTCCCCCCCACTGACGCACGCAGCCTCCTCTTCCAGTTTCACAGGGAGCTGTGCAAGGCACGCTCGATTAGACGGGGGCAGATTGCATGGGCCAAAGTCCTCTGGGCAGATCCACCACCTGCGACACCATTGCGTCGGAGGAGGTGCTGCCAAGGTTTATGCATAGTGCAGGACTTTGCTGCTGTCTCCAAGCTTGACATCATCCCAGCTCCAGTTTGCCCAACTCTTAATTCGGGCACCAGGGTGCTGGGCTGTGTGTGCAGCATGAGTGGATAACTCTTCCTCTGACCTGGATTGCCCTAATGGAAAAGCCTGACCTAAAGCAATGGAGCACAGAGACCCTTAGACATGTCACTGCAGAATTAGGAACCTCCTCTCAGAGCCTGTTAGGCATCAAAAGAAGATTTTAAAAGGGAATCTTTAGCAGTACTTTGACCTGTCACTAGATCAAGCTAACTGCCTTTGCCATGTGTTGCTCCTGGGATGATTTCTTAATAGATTTTGCTTTTCTCAAATGCTGAAGGAGGAAAGCCCTGGTACATTCTCCCAGCACCCCACTGTACCCCAGCACTGAGATTCAGGAGTCCTATAGCAGCAAGCAGGTGATGCAGCAGGGACCCCAGGTACTTCCAGCAAAGCAGTGGCTGCTTTTTATCAGTTCACATTCTCCCTTTTCCTCTGCTTCCTCCTACTGATGCTACTGTGAGCACCTTTGCAGAAGTTATTTAGGATGAGAGTGGCCAGTGAGCAACATGCTCCAGTCATGTACAAATGAGAGCAATGAAACAAGTACAGCAACACCATTCATTTCACAACTGCTCAAAAATCAGTCCCTCCAGCCATACGATTTAGCTTCTTTTGGATGCTCAGCACCAATTACAATAGCCTGTGGTCTGGCTGCCAGACCTGCTCTGTGATTCAACATCTTTTCCCAGGGAAGGCATTACATGCCTGCATTTGCCCTCTGCCTACCCTGCAACACTACAAATCCACACCAGGTCTGTGTTTGCCATAGGTCTGGAAGAACACCTTCAGTACCCTGACTCTTCTTTTTTCCCCCCCATCTCCATCATTCTCCCTGAATATATGTCCTTCAGATTGCCATGTAACTCATCCTTTTAACTTTATCTCCCTGATCACTTCCACTGTTGATTCAGCCAGACAGAAATCTTAGGTAGTTCAAAGAAACAGAAACATGAAGCATTTATGAGTAAACACATGAGAAAAGACATCTTTCATGAGCTGATTAGATGGGGCACAAATCTGCTTAAATTGAGTCATGATTTGTTGAACCCTCAGCTGAGTGATAGGAGACTAAATTAAATCTGGGTTTTAAATTATCTTTGCTGGATATAGAACACATTAGTAAGATATCAAGCTCCTTTTAATAGCCGATCTCAAAGCAATCAAGGCAAGATGTGCATGCCACAAGCTTCCTTCTTAGATGAAGAAACCAAGCCCCGTGGAATGTGATTTATCCAACAAATGTTGCAAAACTGGGAACAGGATGTATGTGGCACGGGTCACAGGCCAGCACCCTCCATCCAAGGTGCCAGCAAAATTCCTGCTAGGAGCCACTGACACAGGTGATGGAACGTGCTGCCTTGGCAGAGGAGAGAGAGTCCCAGCCTGTTGCTACTTGCAGACTGTTACTCCCTGCTTTTCCCAATGTGCACCTTTGGGAGCACAGGTGGAAAGCGCTTCTCCAGTCATTCCTTCATTCCTCCTCCATCCCTGGTTCTGGAGGTTCTCCCCAGGAGAAGAGAGGAAGAAGGTGCAGATGGATGAGATGTTTGCCAGAGAACATTGAACCTTTCACTCCCATTTACCGCTGCAATTTGTTTTCTCTTAGCTGTACCCAGTGGCTCAGCTCTGCTGGAAAATCCCAGTGGTTTTGCTAGATACACAAACTGCTGCCATAATCAGACCCTGAGCACTATCTTACGGACATAACCTACATGCTTTCACCTTCAGCAAGGTTGAAGGGGGGGAAAAGAGCAACAGAAGGAATCTCTGTAGTTTTATTGTTGAGTTCTGAGGGGAACAGCTGGTGGAGACTGCCTAGGTAAAAAGCGCCATGGTCTAACTCTTTGCAGTCCCACAACAGAGGTACCTTGGAGACAGCAGTATCATCTTCCCACCACAGCTACTTCACACAGCTTGCTCTGGAGCCAGGATGCAGTTCTCAGGCAGCATTTGTCCTCCTGCCCACCCAGCCTTGGCTGCCAGTGCCAGCGTGGGCAGAGATACATAATTTACAGGGACCAAAGTCTGACACCAGCTCCCTGTTTGTTAATTACAGCTTTCTGAGCAGCTTTGATTCCAGCTATCACACACAAAACTACTTCTCACCTTTGCTCTAGGGTCAGCCAGGTGCTCTGATTTATCTTCTCCTTAGGAGATATCCTGGCTAAAGCTGCTCAGGTCAGATGTGGGGCTCAGGGCACAAAGCCGATGCTCTGCTGTGCCTGAAGCCTGTGGGAAGAAACAAGCGGTCCCAGCTGGATGGGGGAATGGTGGTGAATTGGAAGGTTCAGACAGGCAGTTCAGTTTTTACTCAGGGCTTTTCAGTTCAGTGTTTACTCAGGGCTTTGCCAGCTGTGCCCTGCTCAGTGTTTCCGAGGGCACAGCTCCAGTCCAAGCACACAGTCAAAAAACACAGTAGGAGGCTCATAAGACAGGCAGGAGCCAAAGCCCATGGCCAAGTTGCAAGCTTTGTGGAGCACCATGATGATTTCCTAGCCAACCCCTCTAAGCACACTTCGTATTTTTCATCACTGCATTGGTGACAGTTACTGTTGGGATGACCTTAAAATATGCACTTCCAAGTGTGAAGACTGTGCTGAAGCCAGACCACAGCACATCCACAGCATGATTACAGATTACACAGAGGATCTCCTAGGAAAGCATCCTAAATGGCTTTTCTCAGGTTTATGATTGTTCATGCTACACTCGCCAGCACTTATCACTACTGGTAATAGTCTGTGGTTCTCCGACACTGACATTTCAGGAAAAGCTGAATAATAGCTTTGGGCAAAAATGTGTGTTTGTTGTTTCTTCTTTAGTAAGCACAATCATTTCTGCTGACTCCTGCCTGATCTCAGAAAGGCATTCTGACACCAGGGTTTTTTACTACCTGCAGACTTAAATGTTCAGTACAGGAAACAGAGAATGTATAATATAGAGTACCTAGATCATCAAGTGGTGTAAGTCAGCTACACTTGGAGTTTATATCGACAAAGTTGCTGGCCCAAAACCAAGCACCAAAAGCCTCAGCTACAAGCATTTAACTCTTGATTTTAATCTGACATTCCTCTAGTGACAGAGCAATCTCTGCTTGTGGTGTTTGGCTTTGTGTAGGATACTTAGCTTTGGAGAGCCACCCTTCAGATTAGCACACCTTTCCCTAAAAGCTTGATGCTGACACTTGATCATTCTCATCATCTTTTGCTTGTGACTGAGAACAAAACAAACCCAGAAAGGAAAACCAGCCACAAAAGCAATGAACCTTGCAGGGGCAATATCATTTTACTGCCGCAATCCCGCACCGGGATGGAAGCACTGATTAGAGGACAGGGATATTCCTTACCTCGCTAACGATGGATGAGTGGGGCTGTTTGTACACCCAGTTATCATGGCACGTGGTGAGCGGCAGGTAGCCCGTGCTGCCATTGCTGTAGTGGGCGAGTGGGCTGGCACAGCTGACGGAGGTGTCCCACACGACATCCAGCCTCTCACACTCCCCGCCGGAGGACCTGTTCCCAAGATGCAGGGGCAGTACTGTGAAGTTTCGTTCCTCTTCCAGTGTCCAGCCACATAGCTCACTTTGTTCAGCTGCCCCAGGGATCCTGCACCAGTAGCTGCCTGGTGCTTGCCCAAGGAAAACCACACTGGTGAACAGGAAAGAAAAAGTTATGCCAGTCTGGCAAAGGAGGAAGAAGACCCTCTTCTGAAATCTTCCAAATTCACCAGCTTCCTTCAAAACCTCATCAAAACTTGGCATTATGTCAGGCAGTTTGTCCACTTGCAGCACTCCAAGAGATGACAGAGTTTGCTTTCACACCGGGCATCGGCTGCTGGCACTTCCTATAAGTGTGTCTGCCTTGCCTCCCCTCGCTCCTCTCTTCTCACGTGTGTGCACACACACACAGACACACGGGCATGCAGTGCTGCCAGTAGCATGAGTGAAGCCAGGACAGGGCAAAGCTGCTGGTAGGCATGCAAGTGCGCACCCAAGCACACACACAGAGACTCGGGGAATGCCAAGTGGCGTGGGGCTTACACACAGACGGGGAGGAGTGTGATTTAAAGCGTGCAAACATACTGTAGGAGAGGAGGGGCATACATTTCCTATTCATCCCGAATGTTAAACAGATTATGTAATAAACCCAGTTAACTCCTTCGAGGTGGGTGAGCCACAAACGCCAGCTCCTGCCACGGCTGAGATAAATTAATAGGTGCAAAGATAGTTAAACGGGAAACAACACTGGAGCTGTTGCAGCAAGTGATGCAGCTTCTCTGCGGGATGGCAAGGGCAGGAAGAAAGTTGTTTCAAAGACAGCTATAAAGTCTTTCATTCAGCAAATAGAAATGGATACTGTGGCAATGTTTAGTTACTTCTTCAAAGAGCCACTTCACCATCTTAATTTAGAGATTTAATTTGCAAGCAAGTCTTTCCTTTCTGTGGTGTAAATGAAGTTCACAAAATGTGCCAAAATCCAGGTTTTTTTTTTAAATTGGATCTACCTGTTCAAGAAGGCTTTTATATGACCTTGTTAGTTTTGTAACAGTCTTCCAAATATTTAAAAGAAAAATGACCAGTGTTTATTCCTCAAAAATGAACGGAAAACAGGTTTCACTTGTTATTTCACTTTTGTGTTCACCTGTTTGTTTGAGTGGGGGGAGAAGGGAAGGGGAAGCCAAAACTGAGCTGCATTTTGTGTGCATGTGAGCACACCTTGTCCAGGATTCCCTGAATCAAAATCAGGCAGGTTCTGCACTGTGTTCAGGATCCAGAGGTCCATGGCCACTCTCCTCTGCGAGAAGGAGCACAGCAACAGTACCTATCAAAGATGTCTCCTGCAATCCCTTGACCCTGGTTACCTACAGTTTTGACCATGGGTGTCCATGGTTTTGAAACGAATAACCATTTCTAAAACAGTTAGATCAAGACCAAGGAAGGCCCTGATTACTTTACAGACACTCTGACATGGACTTTGTAACAGATATGAAGACCTGTGCTCTGGTGTGAGCTTGGAGAAGATGGAGGTTTCTAAGTAGATCCACTGCTGTGCTTGCAACAGACAATGCTTTTGAGGGAATTTTGTTTGACCTCTTTTGCAGTAATCAAGCTTAGAGGTCATGACCGCAACACCTTTGGGTCCAGGTCTGCGCCTGAGGAAATGGGGCATGATCTGATGGCTGATTTCAAACAAAGAGAAGCTGTTTTATCCCAACAGGACTAACTGAGACATCAGTCATGCCAAGATGTCAGAGCTGAGAGGGTTTATGCTGACAGCTTCCAGCAACAGGGGAGGAGATTGTATGAACCACCACAAAGACAAATAAATGGGGATAGGGCCTGATAATCAACCTGTGCACTGCTCTCACACCTCTGCTCAAGGGTGTATGAAACCTCTACTGCTCTTCAAGCCTTACCCCGACTAAAAACGTTGCTTTTATCCTATTGGGTATTAAGCCAATTCTAAATCATAAGGGTTAGTGCTTTGTAAGCCATGTACCAATGTAGCTGTGCTCAGCATTTTACCCATTTCAGAAACCCACTGGTTTAATTATCATGGTCACCTCTTGGCTAATCTGTGGAGCTAGACCAGATACAGTTGAGTGAGAATTTAATCCATTACTGCAACATTGCTTCAGGAGTTACTTTCTTTCCCAAAAGAAAGCATTGTCTAGTAGCTGGGTGTCAAGGTTTCACACACCTCATCCATTATGCTCTTGTCATTTACAGTGTGTGCATCACAATCTGCCAGACCAGAAGCCAGAAAAGCTAGCAGCTGAGAGAGACATCAGCATTAATGTCACAGCAGTGCATGTCTGAGAGTCTCCTGACATTCACCACAGTTACACTGCTGGTCATACAAGTGAAGATTCATTCAGTAAATTCAGTTCAACTGTCTGGCATGGGTGATGTCAAAGTGACCTTGGTTCCTCAGTATTCACCCATGTTTCCATTTCTCTATTCAAAATAGTTTATCAATATTTGCCACCATATCAGTGTGCTTCAAGACACTGGTTTGTCAAAGAAATTCAAAACAACCCCGTGACAGATGCATGTGAGTTGGCATTGGTGCATTTATTCTATGGCAAGAAATTACCAGCTTTCCCAAGATTTTCCTGGAACTTCAGCTCTGTGCTCTGTGAGAGCTGAATACATCTAAGGACAGGAAGATGAGGGGTTTGTATACAATGCCTCTAACTGTAACCTCTTGAGAGAATGCCTTTAAATCTTTGAGGACAGATCTCAGGGACAAACCATCATTTTAAACATTTTATCCTATACGTAGAGTAAAAAAATTATGCTCTTTGATACTGGGAAAGAAGCAAGGGAAGAAAGCCAAAGAAGATGTTGACTGATGAAGAAGGCAGAAGCAGTAAAAATAGATGTGTAGAAGAGAACAGAAAGAGGGAGGGGGTAGAGTGAGAAGGCAGCAAGCCAACGAAAGAGCAAAGGCAGAAGCAGTGATGAAAGGTGAGCAGAGAAGAAAGAGATATAAAAGTACAACTAAATTACAATCATGAGCATCTTCAGTTGGAGCTCTGTTTAGAAGCCCAAATGTCACAGCTATTTCGGACACAGAATGAAAACTATGTAGTCTAGAGGGGAAGGCACACACATTCCCTATACACCCATGGCACTAGACTAGCATTTATACATGTCTGGGTGACAGCATGGGACATTTGGCTCAATGGCTGCACTGACTGAATCCTGGAAAGTCAACCTTACTGCAACACCCTGGATAACCTTTGCCAGTGCTTCAGACAACACTTGAAAACCTCAAAGTCCTTGTTTGGGACACTGTAAGCAGTGAGGCAATGACATCAGCCTGTTTGCAGACACCTGAGGGCACCATCCTACATAACAGCACCTTTTCTGTGATAAAGTTACACAGAAAACTATGACCTAAGTTTATGATGCCCTATAGATACATGCCTCTTGCTAAATAAAAGAGGGCCTGTGAGCAAACTTGAGCAGTGGTCATTCACCCTGCCTGTTATCTTGCTGCTTGATGAAGTTTCATATTGCAGCAAATATTTGTCCCCCAGACAAATGTGCTATAGACTCTATAGCCCTAAGGAGCAGGGGTGCAAACCAGCCAGCATCACACCATTCCAGGGGCAGAAGACTGCCTACGCTAGCTTTTTCTTCAGCTCTTCATGCCAGGAGAAGGGGCAGTGATCCCCACAGCTCTTCACTTGGGGCTTACAGTACTTCTGCTAACTGGTGACTCCATGGCAGAGGCTACCACAAGGATCCAGGCAGTAGTAACTCTAAACAGATGGCACAGATCTTCATGGCAAAGTTTTGTTCACAGCAGAAGATGGCAGGGCCCTTCATCATTCTTCTCCACTCACTTCTTTCATGCACCTTCCAGCTGCATCCTGCAGGTTTGGCTGTCCTGTGCAAAAAACATTGCTCTCCCATGCTGCTGTGCAGAAGCCTCACACCAGCCCCAGAAATGCCACATGCTCATAGGGCTCACACTGTTACAACATACCTCAGTAAGAGCCAGGCTGGAAAGAATATAGGAGCTCAGATTTAGAGATTAAATAAATAGTGGATTTTTTAAAATCAGTGAGAGACCTCTTTGTGGCGCAATTAGAGAAGTTTATGCTCCCCTGTTCCACATATGGTACAGTTACATCCCAACTCAGGACACTAAATTGCATGCAGCTTTTTCTCTGACAGCTCCTGTGTTTTGGTTTTTGTGGCTGTTGGTTTTTTAATTTCACTTCGTTAATCTTTCTTTTTCCTCCCACCACCCACTTTTGTCTTCTTCTTTTACATCCCCCTTCTTCTCCTCCCAGATTTCCTTTTTCTTCCTAAGAAGTGGCAACTCTATTCAATGAGGTGCATCCTTTCCCAGGCCTCCAGGTCAATTTCGTGAGCTGCAGGCTAACTTTGAGACATGGGAAAAGTCAATTCCAATCAACAGGGTTTCCACCTTTTGGCAATCCATGAAAGCAATGCACAATGCATTATAAACCCCTCCCTCACTATTTCCATGGCCTTCAGGCTATTTTTACCATATCCATTCCAAGAACAAATATAAACAAATGTAGTTCTAGGAACTGTGGAGTACAACAACCAGGGGGATCTGCTTGGACAGCAGCTGAAACAGCAGAAGGAAATGGGAACATGGGAGAGAAGAGAAAATCCAAGAGGGAAAAAAAAAGTGGAAAGTGAAAGGAAAAGCAAAACAGGTGCAAAGAGGCTCTCACAGGAGAGGGGAGAAAACACCAAAACCAGAAGAACAAGTAGTGACCACACCAGAGACAACCTCTTTCTCTGCCATTCTGAATGCTCATAGGCAAAAAAAAGCAACCGAGAAAGCCATCCTCCACCTGCAGCCTCGTGCTCATTTTCACACCCTGAACTTTCCTTCCTGCTGCCCTGGTGCAGAAGGTGGGGGAGTACATAGGGTTTAGATTCTTGTAGCCCCAAGGCTCATCCCCACCAGAGCAAGCAGCAAGGGCTCCTTCCCCTCTGCCCCACACTTTTCCTTGCACATACTGTCTGGGGGCAAAGCATCCTCTGCTGCAAAGCCAATGAGATCCTGTGGAGTCTGTTTTCTTACCCAAAGCCAGTGCTACTTCACAACCATGGCACTTGCACACTGCTCCTCTTTGCCTGCTGGAGAAAGTCAGGTGCCACACATTTTGGGTGCCTGCAGATAGCCCATGTCTCTTCCCCACTGACTTTAATCCTACTTAGAGAAAGCAGAAGAAACCTGTGGCTCTCCAAGCACATCTGGGAACACACGTTTATTAGGATTTCAGCTCAGTATCTGAGATAGGCCAAGGAACCCAAAGGGCTCATCAGCTTCCCCAAGGCCAGCTGAGGAAAGGGCAGCCAGAGGAAGAGACGTTCATGCACACACATTCTCATAGTCCGTATGTGGCTTCCCTCATCCTTTTCCTCTTCACCCGGTCACTCTGGAGGCCAGTGGAAAAGGCTGCACTGGGCTTTACCTTCCTGTTCAGATAAACATGCCAGAATCCCACAGCACATTCGTCAGGACCTTTGCTAATGGCTTAGAATAACCAAGCATTTCAGCCG